CTATGAAAGGACTCCTCTGAACTCTTCTTAACAGATTACAGCACTCATTGATCACCTTGCAGAAAGATGCGGGTCTGCTCTACCAGAGAGTGTCAATACTGCACTCTCTGATTGGACTACTTCTATTCATCAGTGCCAGCGTTATCTACAGGGATTCCTGACACCAGTAGATGGTCATATAGCCGAGAGATCATTAATGACGCACGCAAACAACGGATTCAGAGGCAATTTTCTCAGCCGCTCAGGGGTTATTCATTCAGCTTCCCGGCGCCCGCCACTCGTAGGCGCATTTTCTTGGACAAGCAACTCCATTAACAACATGAATAACCTAAGTGCTGTCGGTTGTGTCGGATCAGCCTTGAATCAATCCAGTATGGGTTCCAGTGAGCTAGCTACGTACGTCAATTCAAGGGGCCATTCGCCAGCTGGAATATGCCCCAAAGGGCAGTACACTTCAGTAGCATCTACAGCCCCCCTATTGTCGCTTAGTTCTTCTGGTGGGATTCAGATATCTGGACCGACAGGGAATGCGAGTACTCCAGCAATCACAAAGATGCTAGCAGGGCTAGTGCTTGAACCATCTGAAATGTCCGAGAGACGCAACCATAACCTCAATGGACTTTCATTTTCAAGCAAGGTTATTTAAATAATAGTTAATACTTCCGAGTTACTTTTATTATTTAGTATGAAGCACATCATATACTATCGAAAATTAATATTGCTTACTTATTTTACAATTGGATGAAAGTAGTAAACTCTTGCAAATAGGTCCCATAGAGCATACTAAGTTTAAAATAAGACAAATGATTATAGAAGGTCTTCTAATCAAGCAGAGTAATATTTCTAAACTTGGTATGTAAGAAGGCTGGGTTTCAAATAATCACTTAGTAAATTGATTTTGGAGTATCTTTCATTTCGTTTAAAGAGGCGAGTGGAAGGGATTCATAAGTTCGTTCTGGCGAAGGCTGTGGGGGGTCATCTTAGAGCTTTGGTTGTAGATTTGTGAGAAGAGGTACTGGGCGCACTTCTTTACGACCCCAATGAATCCTTGCTGAGCCTTTATCCGTCATGTGACGGATATCGTCAGAGCAGGACACCATGGTTTACGATAATTCACCAAAAACGCAAAGGCAAGAAAGGTGGCCGGTTTCAAACCTACCCACTTCTTATAGTCCAATTTGGTCCATTTAGGCATCTGATATTTGGGTTGAATGTCCAATGCTCTGCCTCTATGTGAGCTTTATCCCCCTCAAACACGTATTTCTTTGATCCTGGAATTTTACCGCATGTGATTTCGTCCCAATGCACGCGTGTTGTGTGAGTGCGTTGCTCTTGAAATTCGTGTGATGTGAGAGCCAAAACCAGATTCCAGCCTAATCAAGCCTCTTGCTCAGTGGTACCTCTCGTTCCCCCTTATCTCTCTTTAAACCTATCCAACAGCCAAAGTAGTTTCCGCTTAATTTCCTACACTCATTCCTTTTATTCAGTGTTGTCTGTCTTGTGGATTTCTATCGCTTCCATAATTATTCGCCTACTTATAAAGTCTCCATATCCATTTTAGCGTATGCCAGGGCCAGTATGGCATATTGTACGGGTAAGTTAGTGTACAACCTAACCTGCTAAAGCAAATCTCCGAAGCGTGGAAGGTTTCAGTTAAGAATTCTTATGAATTCGTTAACTTAGTCGACGAGCAGGAGATAGAAAGTGGAGATATTCTGATGAGTTTTGATGTTGAGTCTATGTAAACTAATTTTCCTGTAAAAGATGCTATACAAGCCCTGCAATACATACATAGATTTAACATCAAAACTAACCAGCAAATCCCCACTTTCTATCTCATGCTATTCGACTAAGTTAACGAATTTATACGTATGCTTAAATGTAACCTTCCATGTCTCGGAGATTTGCTTTAACCTGTTACAAATAAATCATGATGTCTTATGCATCACGCTTCCCTTATTATTCACAATAATTCTGAGTGGCACTTCATCTTTATGTATTTTGGGCAGACCATGTGCATTCGGAGGTCTAGCATCTCGTTAAAGAAGCGTGTTCATCTTCCACTTCTCCAGTTCCAAGGTTTTTACACAATGCTGCAAGCAACCTCTGAGTCTAGACTTAGGGTCCATAATAATTAATTTATGAGGTCATCAGAAAGAAAAACTATCTTCCTGCAAATATGCAAGGACTAATTGCAAGCCATTTGAGCGGAAAAAAATGGAACTGGTTTATAAGGATACCTATATGGCATCTAGATATGATAATATTTGAGAAAGGCTTGTGAGTGTAGACACTAGCTTGGATAGCACTACCACATACAAGCTAATCAGTAGGGACCCTACAGAAATCCTTAAATCTGGACTCAGGGGTTGCCTGCAGCATTGCGTAACAACCTTGGAACTGGAGAAGTGGAAGGTGAACATCATTCTTCAACGAGATGATATGCTTCCTAATGCATAGGGTCTGTCCAAAATACAAAGATGAAATGCTACTTAGAATTATTGTGAAAAATAAGGGCAACGTGATGCATAAAGCATCACGGTTTATTTCTAACCTATTAAAGCAAATATCCGAGACGTGGAAGGTTTCAGTTAAGAATTCCTATGAATTCATTAACTTAGTCGACGAGCAGGAGATAAAAAGTGGAGATATGCTGATGAGTTTTGATGTTGAGTCTATGTAAACTAATTTTACTGTAAAAGATGCTATACGAGCCCTGCAATATTCGGAGATTTTAATAAATATATAGTAAGGGTTCAATAATGATACTGACCAACCTAGTGCTGTACTGTGCGTATTTTACTTTAAGTGGTAAGCAAGCAAGAGATTTAGCTGTGGGATCGTGTTTATCACTAATTTTAGCAAATAATTGCATGGCTCAGTTTGAGAAATGCTTAATTCAGGAGGCACTTTTAGTCCATACACTATAAGT